AGTAAATATAGTATGTAGCTACACTGAACAGACTTATTCTAATGGTCACAATGGAGTGTCTGTGGGTTACTTGTGACAGACTTGAGTAACGTTGCAGATAGTGTAGGATTTAAATTTAATATGTTGATAATTAAGGCACATGACAATGAAGAACTGTAAACCAATGTCAGATCATAAAGTAAACCTTTAGTAAAGCAGCAATATTATTATAAAGCATATACCCCTAAGTACCTGCCAAGATCTTTTCAAGGCCTCCCAAACCCCGGGTTCTGAGATGCAGATGTTGACTTTGCTTTTCAAAATTGAGGCTTGGCCCTTCTCTTGCTGTCGCTTGTGCCTAGATAGTGGTTATTTGGTTTGCACATCATGCTTATTCCTGTCTTGGGGATCATTGTCAGTTGGGCAAGTTAAACATCCCCTCCCTATTTTAGATTTCATGTTTGAATAGTGTTCCACTATAAAGGGTATTTGTGGGCTTACTCCTTTTGTGGCCAAAAATCCCTGAAGTTTCCATGTCCAGGCCAAATTTGCCAATCAGTTCACTTGACGATAAATCTACGACTAATTTTCGCACCTTAATCATTTTTTAATTTTTTTTTTTTTTTTAAAACACGTTACTTACATTCTGGTAAGTAGGAAAACTAGGAGAGGGTGCATATGTTTTGTGCGGGGGATTTATCAAAACTGGAGCTAGGAGAATCTGGAGCAGTTGCCCATGGCAACCAATCAGCATCTCTCTTCAGTGTGCTCAGGTAAGATTTGAAAGTAAGAGATAGAAGCTGATTGGTTGCAGTGCAAATCTGCTCCAGATTTTTCTGCTCCAGTTTTGATAAATTCCCCCCTTTGTGTGTTGAGATAACTGACTCACTTTTGTTTTAGTAAACCGCTGACAACATGGGCCCAGAAGCTCAGACAAACGCATCAAAAAAGATCTGTTCAAATTGAACAAAGCTCTTCCATGCAGTCAAATCCACATTCAGAAAGAGATGTAAGTTGTTCATTCCTTAATTTCTGACACTGAATGGTTATTGTATTTTTGTAGTGAGACATTCTCAAATACTACACCAACATACACATTCACTCTCCAATACATGTGCACAAAACAGAGGTCAATTCCTGTTCCTTTAGAAGTCTCCAACATATGGCACCGTGTATCCCCGAAAATAAGACCTAGTTTGGTGGTTGCATGTGAGGGGGAACTTGAAGAGCAGGGGAGATGGTATCAGCCTGCAGGGACATACTGTATTAAGGGGACGACAGGGGACTCCCTCCGGCCAGCGCAGTGACAGGGAGCACTCCAGTACCATACTTCACCAACTGCTGTCCCCCTGAAGGCACTGCTTAAAGGAGAACATTACATTGGGCCAGTTCTTTTCCCCATAGTTCTCCTAAGGGTCACGGGAGGACACAAACTAGCGTCCTCCCGTGACTCAAAGCTCAGTATACCGCGAGCTACAGCTCGCGGTATACTGAGACCGCCGCAGCCGGGACGGATCCCGACATTACTGTCGAGATCCACCCAGCTGTGTGATTGACAGCTGGCTCTGCCTATCTAGAGGTGCCGTCCACTGTCTGATGTCCCCACTGCTGCACCGCTGGTACCGCTGTCCCTGATGGCAAAGGAAGCCGGCGCTGTAGAAAGCAAGGCTGCGGCGGCGGAGGGAGCAGAGCCGCATTAGCCGATACTTCCTCTATAGCGCCGGTTACTGTGACAGGCGGAGTGATACTAGATAACTTTGGATTGTTGTACATTTTGTTGCACATTGAAAAAAAAATAAGACATCCCCTGAAAATAAGACCTAGTGTGTTTTTTGGGGGCAAAAAAAATATATAGGTATTTTCGGGGAAACATGGTAGTACCCAAAAGGTTTTTGTTTAGTTTGCACTATGCACACTGATGTTGAAGACTCATAAAACAATTCATACAACTGACTTTGTGCAGTTTAGCTGATTATATGCAGATAATGGAAAAGATGAGGAGCTGCCTTGTATTTACTCAGTAATGCCGTGATGGTGAAAACGGGCTGCTAGAGCATATTTAACTCTTTTCACCAACTTGGCATTACTTAGGTGATACAAACTCCACCGAATTTCCACAAGGTGAAAGAATTGTCATATCACAATAGCCCTTCTAATGCTCCATATAATCATTTTTTTCCCAGTCTGACAACACGGAGGGTTCTTCAAATATGTTCTTTCTCAACAATCGAGCAGAAAGTGCAAATTCCTTATTTTCTACAGGATCTGGTAAATATGCATATAGATACTTGTTAAAGTGACATTAAACCCTCAGATTTTTTAACATAAACCAATACTGTAATGTGTGCCTTACTGTAATCCATGGTTGTTTCCCTTCTCTTTGCTGCTCTTCCTTTTAAATCTGTATCTGTTCTCATGCTCTGCAGAACTTCTGTTTTGCAGCAGACTGCCTTGTCTCAGGAATGGATACACGGTGTCTGTGTGTTGGTTTGTAACCTGAGCCAGCACTACAGGAAGAGGCCCTGAGCTGAAAAGGGAAGTTCTCCCCCAGCATGAGAAGACATGAGGATTTAAAAGGAAGAGCAGCAAAGAGAAGGGAAACAACCATGGATTACAGTAAGGCACACATTACAGTATTGGTTTATGTTAAAAAATCTGAGGGTTTAATGTCACTTTAAGTTTTGTCTACAGTAGTTTATATGACTTTTTGCATTGTGACTTTTTCCCACTTATTCTAAATAGGGTTTACATACTGGATGTTAGATGAGAAAGACTTGTATCATCCTTTGCCTGATAATCTTGAAACTGGAGTTTCCAAACTTTTTCATGCTAAAGAGGTATGTATACTTGAAGGAGGCCAAAAATGTTGCACTGTTTCTTTACTATTTTATATACTACTTTCACATGCCAGAGGGTCTGCCAGCCCATCTACCCACAAATCTTAGTTGTGGATAGGAACCAGCGGGTTAAATCACCGTGTGGCTTCTTATATCCCAGTGGACTCCAGTGGTGAGATTTCTCCTCCTATCTTTCTCACTTTCTTTCTATCTTCCTCTGGAGCTCTTCTTTAGTGAGACCATGTAAGGCCTCTAAAGAAATCCAAACATCAGCTGCCTGCAAGAGAAGACTTAGTATACTCACCTCCCCAGTGGCCTGTGTCTCTTATCTTCAATCTGTTCCATAAGCTGTCTGTCCCCTACCTCACTGTTGAATCTGGTTGAAGTTGGGGGAAGGAGCCACAGTGTGAGGCATGGGACACAGGCATCCAACACTTGGAATTGGCAGATGCTGAAAACACTGACAGAGGCTGGAATGGAGTGGAGGCAAGCGTATACTACCTCTTTTCAAAGTGCTGGTTTTTTATTTCTTCAGGAACCAGACGGGGTCTCTGCAGGAGTTAAGCCAACTCTAAATTATAACTTTCAGTAGAATTGTGCACTGGCTTATTAATGTGTACCTATAGGAAACCTCAGCAGTTCGATCTCACCACTGGTGGTTCCAAGCCCTGACCTCTACCCCTTACCACTGCTGCATTCCATGTTAAGTATAATAAATGAAAAATCCAATATACAGAGAAAGCAACTTGTCATAATGGCCACAGCAGAAGGATTTATGAGAGACTTCTGTTTCAGTTAATACAGTGCTATGTATAAAACATATTTTAATATAATATGGTGGGGGCTTATTGTGAGCATTGCTGTATCATTATTATTTTTACATTTATGAATATTACAAAGTTACTACAAACACTAACATAGCACACACACACAGATGTACTGGTACAATCACACATGCATATACATGCATACAATTGCTCTTTAGGACTAACTAGCGTAGTGGCAGAAACACTATGTAGGCTCTATTAGCTGTTTTATTGCAACTTCATAATGTGTATTTTCCTTTTCCTAAGCCTGATGAGGCAAGGATTCCATCTCTCACAGACCTATATCATAGGAAGCAAAGAGAATATGGACAGTGCCCTGCCTGGGAACCACTCCCTCCCTCTGAACACACTCACCCTCCAGAGGTAAGCTATGTGGCAGATTAGGTGCAATGCTAAAACAAATGCCACGTTATGCACTTGGGTGTTAAACATATGCATTCAATATACTCTTTGGGAGGGGCTTCTCTGGGTGAATCAATGATGGAATACAATTTTGGGGTCCTGGTAGATCACAGACTTGCAACAAAATGCAATGCCAATCTGCAGCTAAGTAAGACTAGCAGAATACTCCCTTTTCATAACAAATGCCATATATTCAAGAGATAAATTCATAATTTCACCCCTCACACTGGTTCAGCCTCAACTTGCATATGCAGTTCAGTTTTGGTCACAAAACCACAGAACAGATGTCCTTAAACTTGAAAGAGTTCAGAGAAGGGCAACAAAATTAGTTAGGGGGTTGGTACCTCAGTTATGGCTATTATAGAAATGCATTAAGCAGCTGATTGTGTGCTTCCTTATATTCACCTGTATCTCAGAGCTCTGTAAACTATGTATTTACAAATTTTTCCTAATACGTTTATGGAAATGTTCTTAGAAATCACATATTTTATTATTTTTCTTTTCAGATATTAACTTTAGATCCAACGCTACACAAAAAGCATCCTCACAGTGTTAGTCTGTGTAATGAAAGTTATACAGCTCCTTTAACTCCAGACTCCATCTTGGAAAGTGCCCCATACAAGCAGTATGATGACGAGTCTTTGTCTGCTACCTCATCACTGTTGGGGGATTCACCAAACAGATCTCCACACAGCCCAGTGGCAGATGTAGAGCAGTGTAAATCTACCAAATATCAAACAAGGAGGGATATAAATTACCATCCACGTCGGGGAGATAGTGTTGATGAAAGAATGAACTGTACCGAAGATGATGTCAATAGCTTGACCCCTTCCTCCATGCCCCAGTCACCATTGCCAGTTGCAGAAGAGAGCCTATCCCACCCTTCTGGTGTCCTGTCTGCAGACCACCCTATGATGCTTTCCAAGTAGGTGCTTGAGCTAATCACTGTATATTGATAAACAATATTTATGTCTCCAGTGGCTTGGCTTCTAAAGGTACCCAGACCCAGTTTAGATCATTCTACCGATTTAAAGCCTTTTTTGATCATTAAAAATCTATTCGGAGCAAATAATCTGTATGGAGGGAGAAAAATCTTATTCAATGTCCATAATTTTTTTTTTAAACTAGGTTGCAAAGTTTTAATTTAACTTACTATCCTTAATTCAAAAATGATAGTGGTACCTTGTATTTCAAGCTGTAGCAAATTCTTCTGACCTGCAAGAATACATATATGATATGCAACAATAAATAATATATATAACAATAAATAAGTATGCTGTATGAAAAATATGCCTGTGGGCCTGATGTTTGTACAGAAATAATAAGAAGCCATTGTCTATTGCTACATAAATGTCACATCACATTCTATACTACTACAGAATGTATACCAAATAATTTAATACGGACTGTTGTTCTGTCCAAGGAACTGTGAGATTTATTGAATGGCATGTGTGCCTACTGGTGACTATGGTGTATAGTAGTGGTATACAGGCCAATATAGCTATCATTAAAGATATATTTCAGTGAAAATTAGAAATTCTTTTATTGGATACAGGGAGCACATCCTGCATGCATAAAACTCTCCAATTCCCTTTTTTGTCAGTAATCTAATGATATAGGAACTCCTTTTATTCTCCGGTTTTCAGTAGAAGAGTGTTGTTATGAAACATACTAACTGCAAGCCTCTTGCTGCCTCTTACATACAGACAGCCTGATGTATCAAAGTGTCAGTGCTAGGTTCAGTTAAGCGACTTCATCACAGATTCAAACCTGTACAGCTTTTGGAAGTGAGGACTATGTGGACATTCCCCTTTAGTATTTTCTGGCTAGAATTAGATTTCAGTTATTTGCCTGGAATTACTCTTGTATTTTTCATCTCTTTTTATGTTTGGTAAATGTCTCACCATTTTTAGTTACTATGACTTTTATTAAATATTTCCTCTTAAGTATCAGACGAAGTTTAAGAGAAAAACATGCTCGCCACTTGGCCGACCTGCGAGACTACTATGAATCAGAAATCAGTAACTTGAAGCAGCAGCTTGTAGCAAGTAACAAATCTACTACTACCTCAGAGGATCTGATGAAGATTAGCAGCTTGACTGAGCGGTAATATATTCTACATTGGTTATAATTTCTTTCCTTTTAGGAATGAACAAATGTATTTGCCAACCTTTCAGCTTCTGAGGCACGTGTGTCCTCATCCATTGTGTTTCTTTCTGTACTTGTTCTATTTCCAGTTGTTCAGTGATTTGATAGTATTGTAAAACCAAAATCCAAAGATTGATGAAGAATACACCTTTTATTGAGGCATATGCATGTAATCACATTACGGCGGGGGGGAGTTCACGCAGGATCCCCTTTATAAGGCAAAACCATGTGATGGCTTGCAATATGTGCATAGAATACTGTTGGAGCATATTATTTTAACTGGTGATGGTTTCCATTTTCTCTGTTGTGAGACTGGTTTAATGAAAACAAATGATGTGGTAAATCAAGACTGTTATCCATGTTGCCATCCACAACTCTGCCCCCGGATATATCTCGAACCTTGTCTCAAAGCATCACCCTAACCGTCCCCTCCGCTCTTCCCATGACCTCCTCCTTTCCAGCTCCCTCATCAACTCCTCCCATACTCGCCTCCAGGACTTCTCTAGAGTCTCTCCCATCCTCTGGAACTCTTTGCCCCAACCTGTCCGTCTGTCTCCCAAATTGACTGCCTTTAGGCGTTCCCTAAAGACTCATCTCTTTAGTGAAGCCTATCCCACCTCAACCTAACCACTCACCCATCACATTCTCAAACAATTCATCCCCACATAGCTACCTTCTCATGTATCACTTCCCCCTCCCCTTTTTAGATTGTAAGCCCCCAGGGGCAGGGTCCTCCTTACATCTTGTCTTGAATTGTATTGTGATTGTAATGTCTTCCTTATATTGTACAGCGCTGCACAAACTGTTGTCGCTATATAAATACTATGTAATAATGTTATCTTTCATTCTTTAACTTGTATTGGGAAAATGTAATGTGGTGTCTGATCAGGAAGGACAAAAACTTTTATTTGATTTTGTCCAATTTTAATTCTAAAATTCTTCTAATTCTTTTTTAGGTGTTCTCATATGGACGGTGCTTTGGCAGAAGCAAGTAAACGAATCCGTATGCTTGAGAACAAAAATAATGAACTGGAAAAACAAGTGGTAAGAATCATATACAAGTATATAAAGTATCTCATAGTCCTTATTTATGCACTGCTATTTTTCTTACAAAGCACCGCAATGAAAAGTATTGTATCACAGTGCCTGGAGCATTGTAAAATACTGAATAAGAATTTAGTTTTATTTATCACCCAGTCTTCCTCCATAGTGCCCTTTCCCTTGTACCCAAACTTTCTTTGGAAAAAACAAAAGGGCCATTTGGACCAGCTAAAAGCAGATTCAGACACAGGGAAAGGTGCACAGCAGCATCTTCAGTGCGGTATAAATATACTGTAGTTCAGAATGCCACACACTGTTTAATCCATAAAAGCCATTTATTACCGGTAGTTACATAACAGAAAAGAAGTACTCCATGCTTGCGTATTTCAGCCAACCCAAGCCTTTAACCTAGCTGAATGCAGGAAAGTCATCCGCTCAACGCTTCTCCCTGCCTCACCCAGCTCTCAAACCTGCTCGCAGCTGCCAGACCTGCCCGTCCGCATCCAGGATCGGCAGAGGGAAATGGCACAGGGATGCGGGGATAAGATGAAGCAAGGAGGAGCAGGCGTGGGGGGACGGCAGCCGCCGAGAGACAGGCCCATGATCTCGGAAGAAATTTGTTGGGAGACTGTTTAGGTAAGACTGCCTGCACTTTCTCCCCACATGGCACAATTAGCTGTATTAATGTATTGCTGGGATAGGGGGATTTGTATTCCTCTATAGCAGATGGTACATTGTGCTGTATATTATAGAGCGCAATGTACCATCAGCTATAGAGGAATACAAATACCAGCAATACATTAATACACTGTATGTATAATGAATTGCTGAGATTTGTTGTATTCCTCCATAGCTGGTGGTATTCTGCATTGCGCTGTATAATGTATTATTGCTGGCATTTGTTGTATTCCTCTGTAGCTGGTGGTATTCTGCATTGCGCTATGTAATGTATTACTGGGATTTGTATTCCTCTATAGCCGGTGCCAGTCTGCATTGATGGCTGTATAATTTTACACTTTGCATTTCACTATATTGCATACCACACTTTTTTTTTTTTTATACTTCCACCGCTCCAAGCTTCCGTGATGGACTACAATCTCAATACAAACTAGTAGTCCATCACTGGAGCCATATTATTATTTTATTTTTATTTTTTTAAATCCGATTAATTGGCCAACCGATTTTGAAAATAATCGTTAGCTGCAGCCCTACTGTACACACAGAAAAAAAGAGTACTATATGTGCAGGTCAATGACCCATCTGTGGTTGAGACCCAAAGTTGTCTGGGTTTTATAAGGCTAAATACGCACAAAGCTTCAATGTGGAACATTAACCTAAAAAAAAGTAAATTTCTGGCAGAGCAAATGGTATTTTTCTGTTCTTGCTGGGTCTTTAAACGGATAACCATAGGAAAATGTGCATGTATTGCAGAGATGTACTGTATATAGTTTTTTCTATTATGTAACTAATAATTGACTTCTATGGTTTTAAACAGTGTGCTGGCATTTTGGACTATGTTTGTACCGCAGTGACAAAGCATTGCTTTCTTGCATCCTCTTCTGCGGTTAAAACTGCTTTTGCTGGCCCAAGTGTGCTGATCTTTCTACCTGTTGTTATTTACTTTTGGATTGTGCTGCCAATTGGCTGCATACTAAAATATGGAGGATAGATCAGTGTGAGTTCTAGTCTTGTAAAGGATACCAACATGTGATCTTTCTTTTTTTGTGGACAATTTCTGCTTGTAGTAACGTGCGGCCACAGTGGGTTGACTTGTTCCCACAGTGGGTTGTATCCATTGAAACTCTATTTTGAAATGAGCCTGTTGCATAAATGGATACAGAGTAACATTATTTGTCCTTCACGATGCGTAACCCAAGCAACAGCATGGATGCAGCTGCTGAGGTTATGTTGCTCCAGGATCGCTTAGCTAAATTTGCTTTGAAGGAAGCGGGTATGTCGGCAACAAATGATACTCTCAAGGAACAATTTAGACAATTATCTGACATGTCAACACAAGAAACATGCGTGCGGTGGGATCTTGCGAGTCCCAAGCAATATATTAGTAGGAAGATGATCCCTAGGGGACTGAGACTAAAAAAAAAAAGATACCCACTACGATATACTCGGAACAGTTTGTTTGAGAATGGAACAACTTTTTGAGCGTATTCTCGATTCAATTGATGCAACTTATTGTATACATTCTTATGAGGGACAAATACTGCAGGATCTTCATTCACAAATTGATACTATTCTTGAGTCAGTTGATAAACCTAGTCAACTAGAATCATATGGAGTTTTCATGTAAAGATTAAAGAAGGATCTGAATTACCTTGAAACATCTATCATGCACACTCAAAGGCAAAAGTATTGGCAGAATATGACGCACTATGAGCATAACACAGTTTGTCAATAGCAGTGACAGGAAACATTCTTCAATAGGACACTTAAATCCATTTTGAAAACAGCTGGGAGGTGGGTAAAGTCCATTTCCGTCTTTTGTAAGTGATTTGCCATTTTTTGTGGTAATGAAAAGGTGCATTGCTGGCTTCCTTAATTTTTTTTAATGACGTTTTTATTAGGCCTGAATCCTAGAAATTCAACATTTCAGAGCATTGAACAATGCCATCAGAGACTTGATGAATGTCTTTCAAAACCTCATTTGGTTTTAACATACCATTTTGGAAATTAATGGAGTGACAGTGAACCGTGAAAACCACATTCAGTTAGAATTTTGTTCATTCAAACAAAACATTTCCTGTTCCTGCTATTATAATTTTTTTTGTCAGTGTGGTAGAAAACGATTCTTGATCTGACCCTTTAACTTTTAGAAATCAAATGAACTTTCTAAAAACACATTTTTGTTAAACAAAATTATTTTAGAGATACGCAATCTTTGTTTTCCTTGCTTATTTGCAGAGCAAGTCTGAGGGGGTGTGCGTTACATCACAGATGAGGAATTTAAATGTGGGGAATAAGTACTTTTATTCTATACAGCCCAAAAGTTCTACAGCTCACACCTATAAGGAGACTGTAGAGGAGGAGTTACAGATGTGGATACATTTGTTGGTACCCTTAAAGCTTATTAAAACAATGCTTCATTCCTCCTGAAATGTGATTCAGTTAAAATCATTTTACTCATGTATACTTGCATGCCTTTGAAATGCCATTGAATAAAGCAAAGAAAGTGTAAAAAAATAGATAAATGATTGCATGTTTTACAAAGATACTCTAACATGACCTGGATAGATTTGTTGGTACCCCTAGAGAAAAGGTATAAAACATTATTATGATCTAATTATTTTACAAACTGTTTTCTGTTATTAGTATCATACATCTCTTCAACCTTTAGTCAGTCAGTGTATTTAAGTTTAGACAATTAGTCACACTGCTTTTTGGTATAATTGTTGACCAGCTTGTCAAAGGTCAAGGCTACAAGACCATCTCCAAGAAAATTGATGTTCCTGTGACTACAAATATTAAGACTTGTCCATGGGAGTGTAGCCAACCTCCATGGATGTGGACGCAAGGGTAGAATTGATCCTAGATTGAACAGAAGGATACTGTGAATGGTAGACAAAGAGCCAAGGAAAATATTCAAAGAGAAGCCAAAGTCAAGGTAGATAAGTGTCTGATCGCACCATCCATCGCTTTTTCAGTGACAGTGAGATCAAAGAAAGAGAGAGCCACTGTTGAAAGAACAAATAACAAAGCCAGAGTGGAACTTGCTAAAATGCGTATTGACAAGACACAATGCTTTTTTGGACAACTGAGACAAAACTTTCTCCTGTTCACAGGCAAAAAATTAAGCTTTCAAAGAAAAGAATAGGTACCTACTGTGAGACCTGGAGAAGGCTTGGTTATGTTTTTGGGGCTGCTTTGCTGTGTCTGGCATAGGGTGCCTTGAATCTGTGCAGGGCACAATGAAACCTACAGACTATCAAGAAATTCTTCTGTTAAAAAAAATAATATAGCATATACAATTGCTACATGAACCACTTTGTAATTTTTATGTTTTTAAAAAATAATTTTCCATTTCAATCTGAAGCTACAGTTATTTTCTAAAGCTGTCATAAAATTCAAAACAATATGGCAGCCTAGAGGTTTTCTGTACACAGTTGGTGAAATGGCATTGCTTGCTTGTGTGATTGGCTCAATAATTTCTCAGATGTCTGTGCTAAGATACAAGTAAACATTTAGGCATCCCCTGCAATAGGAATTTCATTTTTGGTGAGATACTCCCTATGGGTTAACTACTTCTAAAGGGATGCAGACCCTGTAACTTTCCTCATTAGAATATACTGGGGGGAATTTATGATAGCAATTGCAAGTGTTTGAACTTACACGGAATTTATTTGAGGCACTTTGTGCCAGATTTATGTTGCTAGTGTAATGTTGTTCATAAATGAGGTTAAATAGACTCCAGGAAAAAATCTTAACTGTTACTTCTTGAAGAAGATGTCATGGGGACTTCTTAAGTTGCGATTGTTTTGTTAGGTGATGCTCCAGTTTCAGACAGCCGCAGAACATGTACAGATGTAAACAGTTGTGAACTTTAGTAAAACAGGCGCAAAACAGGTGCAATTGGAAAACTAGTGCAAGCTCTGGTCAAAACAGGTGCACGTGTTAAAAGACAGATTTGCACATAAAAAAAAATATCTACGAGGCTAAAACGGTCACAATTGCTTTGATAAATCCCCCCCACTGAATGTAGCCACTGGGTGGTTATAATGAATACAGACCATTCTAATCAGGAAACAGCCTGGAAAGGATCTAGTGAAACAAACAGCTTTTCCTACATAACAGAAAAAGGTAGGAATCTTCAACAAAGTCCTTGCAATGTGGTTGTCATTTTCATTGATTTGACATCGATCATCATGGGTTTTGCTGGACTTTGTGAAATATGTGCATGACAATGAAGTTTACCTGTTGTTCATCAGAAAATAGGACTCAGTAAGTAATAACTTCCTGCATTTCACAATTCAATGGTATGTTGATTTTGGGCACTTGACAGCTCTAATGTTTTGTAAACAATGCAGTGGTAAGTCCACTTTATTGGCAACAAGTTGTCACCTAGGCCACATAGTGATGGCGGTTCCTGTGTGTGAGATGACCCATGCCTGTAGAAATTGTTCTGATGAGGAGGGTTTTACACTACAGATGCTAACTACAGCGGATTGTTGGTTGTAGAAATATAGAAGATCTATTGAAATATCACATAAACAACTCTGGAAGAGGGAAGTATATGCCCATAATTATTATTACCTATGCAGTGGTGTATGAGGACATTGTATGAATTGGTAATTGGAATGTGCCTGTCTTAAATGTGGATCGATTAATTATATAGGGTGGTTTTGGTTTTGCAAGCAGAAAGGCGGTTTTGAAAGCAGAAAGCAGGAAGTCATTGTCTCCTCATTATCTTGAACATCTAAGGCCAAGCAGGATTTCTACCACCTGGCTTGCATTAATGTAATGTTTCAGAAGTGGAATTTATTCATGTTGCTACTGTCATTTACAATAGAAATGGTCCACAACCTATGCCTTTGCTCCCCCAAAACGTCTTCCTCATCTGCTTCACAGGTTTGAGACTGAGGGCATTCTGGTCATCCTCATAGCTCTGAAATGACCCAGGGGGATGTGGTACTCCAACCTGATCAGGTTTCTGTCAGATACTCCATGGGCTCTTTCAAATTCTCCATGGGCTCTGAGAGGAAGAAGCATCTCTGAATTTGTGATTCCCATAACTCTAAGGGCTAGGAGGGCTCTCCATCCAAACCCCGTCTACTCTTTTCTACTTTTAACTCTCTTCTATGTCCCCCACCGTCACCACCCACTAACTCATTCACTGCTCAGGACATTGCCATTCATTTCAAAAACAAAATAGATGCAATCCGAGATGAAATGCCCACTGTCCAGTCACCTTCCCCTATTCACGTACCAGACCCACCATTGCAACCATTAGTTTCCTGTTTTGACCCTGTCTCCACAGAGGAGGTTGCAAAACTTCTCTCTGACACCCACCTCACCACTTGCTCCCTGGACCCTGTTCCTTCACCGCTACTCCGATCACCCTCTTGCTCTATCCTACACTCTCTTACTCACATTTTTAATCTTTCCCTCTCCACTGATATCTTTCCCTCCCCTCTAAAAATGCTCTTGCCACCCCAATACCCAAAAAACCTTCACTGGACCCCAACAATCTCAGACCTATCTCCTTACTCCCCTTCACCTCCAAACTCCTTGAACACCTCGTCTACAATCGCCTGAGCTGCCACCTCACCCATAACAACCTTCTCGATCCCTTACAGTCCACTGAAACCGCCCTCCTAAAACTCACTAATGACTTACTAACCGCTAAAAACAACGACCATTACTCCATACTATTGCTATTAGACCTTTCTGCTGCTTTTGACACTGTTGACCACCCTCTGCTCTTCAAAAAACTCCACTCACTTGGCCTACAAGACTCTGCTCTCTCATGGTTCTCCTCCTACCTACCCGTGTTTGCCCAAAAATCAGAGACTGTCTTATATTTTTTTTGGCTCAAAAAAACACACTAGGTCTTTTTTTCGGGGTAGGTCTTATTCTTTTTTTTTTTATGTACAACAATCCACACTAACCGCGTCGGTCTCCTTTCGTATCACTAACTCACTAACTGACATATCTGTCTGGATGTCGCAACATAACTTAAAGTGACATTAAACCCTCAGATTTTTTAACATAAACCAATACTGTAATGTGTGCCTTACTGTAATCCATGGTTGTTTACCTTCTCTTTGCTGCTCTTCCTTTTAAATCCTCATGTCTTCTCATACTTGGGGGAGAACTTCCCTTTTCAATCAATCTAAAGCTCAACCATCCCCCAACTTTTCTATCATAATTGATAACACAACCATCCAACCCTCCCCCAATGCCAGGGTGCTGGGTGTCATCCTTGACTCGGACCTCACCTTTCTGCCCCACATCCAATCACTATCCAAATTCTGCCGTCCCCTCTTCAATCTATCATGAATGCTGCTGCCAGACTTATCCACCTAGCCAACCGCTCAGTGTCTGCAACCCCCCTCTGTCAATTCCTACACTGGCTTCCAATCCCCCAAAGGATAAAATTCAAAATATTAACAACCACTTACAAAGCCATCCACAACTCTGCCCCCGGATATACCTCAAACCTTGTCTCAAAGTATCCCCCTAACCGTCTGCTCCGCTCCTCCCAAGACCTCTTGCTCTCTAGCTCCCTTGTCAACTCCTCCCATTCTCGCCTCCAGGACTTCACTAGAGTCTCCCCCATTCTGTGGAACTCTTTACCCCAACTTGTCTATCTATCTCCTACTCTGACTATCTTTAGGCGTTCCCTTAAGACTCATCTCTTCAGGGAAGCTTATCCGACCTCAACCTAACCACCGAAATATCAATTTCTCAAACAATTCTTCCCCACACAGCTCCCTCCTCATGTATCACTTCCCCCTCCCTTTTAGATTGTAAGCCCTCAGGGGCAGGGCCCTCCTTAGCATCTTGTCTTGAATTGTGTTGTAATTGTAATGTCTTATATTGTAAAGCGCTGCGCATACTATTGGCGCTATATAAATCCTGTATAATAATAGGAGGTCTACTTGCTGCAAGGTCTATCATTGCACATGCAATGTATACTTCGTTTGGTACGAGGCAAGACATTTTCACACCATGAAATTCTCCATGGGATGCATTCTGGCCTTTCTGCAAACAGGTCAGCATCAGCATTTGGCCTTCAGTATCATCAAGGGTCAGATCTTGCCACTTTCAGTCCTATTCCAAGAACCACTAGCTTCTCATTCTGGGATTAAGACCTTCGTACAGAGTGTCTCATGTTGTTCGTTCTCCATGGGATCTAAATTTGGTTCTTTTGACACTTCAAAAAAATACCTTTTGAACATAATCTAGAGATATTTACCTTCTATTCTTACCCGCAGACGTTGTGCTCCTTGTTGCCATCACCTCTGAAAGGCGAGTATCTGAGCTGGCGGCCTTATTCTGTAAAGAAGCTTTTCAATTCTTGCTCCACTTCTCGGTGATGAAGACAGATCATCATTCAGGCTAAAGGATCAGGTTCTACACTTTCCTATCAAGGTGCACTAGATCTGCTCCTTGGGCTTTTTGGCATCAGGCTACTGTTTCTGAGAATTGCAAGGCTGCCATGTGGTCTTCTGTTCCCACATTCTCCAAGTTTTACCTAGCCTTATCTGATGCGAGTTTCAGATGTAAGGTTCTCCGGGTGGCTCTTTGAGCTGCAGGCACTCCCTATTGATATTGTGTAAGCCGGGGTGCTGCGCTTGGTTGTGTGTGATCCACCTTTTAATTGGTCTTTAAGTTGTGTGAAAATGTGAAAATATCACAAACTAAATACAGTGCCACTGATCAAATCCTAATTGCGGCTGTATACTGAAAATACAAGTCGAAAAAAGGAAGGTAAATGTGTTCGTGAATAAATATTAAATATTATTAAATATTATGTTAACAATGTAAATATCGCAAGATATGTGTAGCATATGTAAATAAATAAAATATTGTCGTGTGGAAACAAGTTATATTGTGAATAATAAATAAATAAAATCTGGTTGAAAAATATGTAAACGGGTGAATTATTCCATCTGGCAATCAAAAATTAATTAGAAAATAAAAATATGAATAAAAATGGAATAAAAACTATTTGTATGGCCAGTCAAAAGCTACAAGCCAAAGTGCACAAAATTCTTATAAAAACACATCTACTGATATAAAAGGTGAATAAAATATAGTGTATATAGAGGTGTATGATCGGGGATTATGAGCAGCAAGATACTATTTTCCTCCGAGCAGCATTGGAAGTCAAGTGTCTTTTACTTATAGTTCTATTGATGAGTCCGCAGAGGGAAAAGGGAGGGAGCTGCCTCTCCGCTCTGATGTCATCCAGAGAGCAACAGCATGCGGGTAGGTGGACGGGCGAGGGGGCGGGAGGGAGCTGCGGCCGGTCTTCACATGTGAAATTGAATTACATGTGCAGCTACCCCGAAGGTAAGATGTCTGTAATATAAGACCTACCCCGAACTAGGTCTTATTTTCGGGGTAGGTCTTGTATTACAGAAATCCCCGAAGATAGCACTAGGTCTTATTTTCGGGGTAGGTCTTACTTTCGGGGAAACACGGTATTGATGAGTCCGCAGAGGGAAAAATTCTTCAATAATAGTCTCTCTGCCCTCTTGATATTGTTTTTGTGGGCCCGTAAATGTTTTGTTGCTGTTGCCCTCCCCTATATTGGACTGCCTTTGGAAATTCTGAATTCCTATGTCCCTCAATGAAAGAGAAAGAAAATAGGATTTTTGTACTTGCCGTAAAATCTATTTCTTGGAGTTCATTGAGTGATACAGGTCCCACCCCTCTTTGTCTATGATCATGTTCTTGGTACTGCCTTTTCACAAAACTTATGCATGCTGTGAGTAGGATGATTTATATTGGGCTGGCCACTTTTTTTTTTTTGCTAGTTTCTAAATCCTCCAATAGGCGGCAGCAAAACCCAACAGTCTATGAATTGCTGTGTTCCTTCAAGAAATGCATTTTAGGATAAGTACAGAAATCCAATTTTTCCTGCCTAATGGGTAGCAAAATATCTTTACTGTGTTCGCAAACATATGTCCTGTTTTTAGCAGTCTAAGAATAGACTAAAGATGAAATTGTGAGGAAACATGTTTTAATTTAATTTGCAACATTTTTCAAACATTTTCCAGGCTGAGTGGAAGGATCGGTATTACAGTGCCAGCAATACTTCAAAAGATCTGCAAGCACACATTGAGGAAATGAGAACGAGGAGCATGGAAAAGGAAACCGCAATAACCCGACTGCAATCTAGACTCAAAGAAGTTGAAGGGTCATTTGAGAAAGCTTTCAAAAAGTCTGACGATAAAGATGAACGAATAAAGCAAGAGCACAAAATGTTTCAAGATGTAAGTTGAAATGAGCTGCATAGGCAATGGTGTCCCCCTTTCCTGATCTTGGCGATTATGTATTGTTTCCTGCTATGGTTGATGTGATCATTTGACTGTTGTCAAGCTACTTTTTAGTCTTATGCATGATTTTTTTTTTTTTGTGTGTAAAATTCTGAAGTGTCTTAGGCAAAGTCAAAGTGCATTCCCTAACAAAAAGGATGTCCTCCATTGTATTTCCTCCATTGTACTTTGAAGTAACACTGGTTCCTTTTTTAACAAATGGTAGAACCCTCATCCTGGTATTGTCTGCAATGACATGGTGGACTAGGTTGCCAACCACACTTTTTGAAAGAAAGGTCTTTCAAGAAGGCTTTGAAATTTAGAGGGCAAAAAACTGGTACTTAGACGTGATTTAAAAAAAATAATAATTATATGATTAATAAGGGATGGGCATTGGGCTTCTGCAGATCAGCTATATCAAACCACTGTGCTATCTACCAGTCTGTTCCTTAAAAACATAACGGAAATTGTTGTCCATTTGTCAGACTACACAGAAAAAACCTAGACATGGTAGATTGAGGGTTCTTGGCAGTGCCTACATTTTGTTCCATATCATATGACTTGTGTAGGCTGTATGTTGCTATCTACTGACAAAGAATATGTGTTTTTTGTTCCTGTGTTTGCTGGGATTTGACAGGTGGCAACTGTCTGTAAGGAAAATGCTGTATCTGTTTTTATTTTAAAGTGACATTAAAGGCTCTTTTTTTTACCCCCAATGCTGCTTTTAAATACTTACCTTATGTGATGCATCTTGATGCGAACATCTTTTTCCTTCCACTTGTTTCCAACTGTCCCCTCAGCGCTGGTGCCGCTCTCTGATCCAGCACAGACTCCTATTTCTTCCTATGTCCCACGAAGTCTGTCCGGCGTGCACGCCCCCGGCTGCGTGCATGCACTTACACTGTGTCACGCCTCCTCTCCCCTCCGGTGATATCAATTGCGCATGCGTCTGCACACATCATCCTCCTGCACGCCCATTCAGGAATCTTTGTTCTGCAGCCGGGAGCAAGTGGCGCAGACACAGGTAAGTTATTACATATTTGCCTACTTTTTTCCACTTGTTGGGGCATATATCTACTGCTTGCCAGCAGTAGACATATGTAAAAAAAAGACTTTAATACCACTTAAAAACTAATGGTTAAAATTTAACATGATTTTTTTTGTTTTTTTTACAGCTTTTGTTGGAATATAAATCACTTGGAAAGGAACACGAAAGAGTAAAAGTAAGACGTTTTTGTATTCCACACACTTTTTTTTTGTTTGTTTTTTTTAAATAAACATGCCCACCTTTTTATGTGGGATTTGACACAGTAATGTGTCATTGGTGTCACCATTTATAGGCATATATCTGCATCCCCCCCCCAAAAAAAAAATTTGCACAAACAAGTACCAAACCACAGAACTGACCTTTACTTACTTTATATCTTTTTAGGACACGCTAGGCACGACAGAAAATAAGGTGTGTGAGGCTCAAACTGAAGTAAATGAGCTCAGAAGGTAATGTTACTTTGCTTGTATAATTGGCAATAGTGTGTCTGCTTGCTGGACATTTGAAAAAATATAGAATAATAACATTAAAACAAATAAATAGTATATTGGTATTTCTTTAGTAGTAATATGCCGTAAATAAGTACTAAGTAATCCAGTCACAAACCCATGGCAGGTCAAAATGAGTACATATATTAAATGTGCTAGCACGGTGCATTAAATTTATGTATACGTTTTTTCATTTTTATTCACTATACTGCTTGCAGCTTTCACTTGGTTGTATTGGCGGGAGATTTTGCTGAGATCAGGTCAAATGAAAAATCAGATGTAACATTTATTAAACCCTGTCAAAGCAGTGAGAAGGCCCAGAGATAGTAGGACTCCTTCTGTAAATGTGCTCAGATCCTTCCTTCCAAATTCTATTAGCCGTTCTAGTGATGGGCATTCTCGTTGACCAATACGGAGACATGATGTGGTTGGGATATAGGAAAAGTGGATATACTTTCAACTATCTTTATGTCTTGATCTAATCATTTTCATGTGCTGTTCTCACTAAAAGTAAAGTTTACTTTAGATTTGTTTTTGTTTTTTTAATTGAGAGTGAAATGAAATTAAATTTAAATGAAAGTTTACTTCAAAGTTGTTGTTTTTTTTTTATTTGATAGCAAAGAAAAGAAATGTGTAGTATGTTTTAAATTAATAGTCAATAAAACTGGGTAATAATGGAAATAAATGTAAAAAACAATGAAGGCATGCTTGGCAGCAGGGACGTTCTAGCCAAAGGGATTGGGAGAGTGGTTTGCCTTTGAGGTCTTTATTAATTTAAAATAACTTTTAATTGTTTAGAAATGTATTGTTTAAAAGAACAATATTAAAGTGCATATATAATACGGTATAAGTGTATATATACTGTGGAACTTGTTTGTAAATTACAATCATTTTAAGAATACTTAAACACTAAATTGGATGCAGATGATGTCACAGTCATGATTTTGTACACTATGAGGGTGTTATGGTGACACCCCCTGGCAGGTGAAATGGGCTAACCCGAGTGTAAGCACTTAAGCTCCTGATGGTGGAGATGGGATTACCTGCTTGCTGGTACCATGTTGCGGCCCCCAGGATTTCCCTGCCAAGGGATTGATGAGGACAGGAGGGCTCCAATGAGGAGACAGTAGTCCAGAGCGTGATCGAAACAAGGCAGAGGTTCTGACAGGAAATAACTAGAGAATGGTCGGACAGTCCGGGTTTGCAGCCAGTAGACTGGAGATGAAAACAGGAGACGAAAATGTAGTTGGATCCAGGCAGGGGTCGAGGCAGGCGGCTAGCACAGAGTGGTCAGGTAGTCCAAGGTCGGCAACGAGTAGTCATTAAATAAGGCAGGAGATGAGAGCTAACTCAGGACCAGGCAGAGGATAAGGGCAGGTGGTAAGCGGAGAATGGGCAGACGGTCCGGGTCAGCAAACAAGAAACACTAGCGTTAAGCTCTTTTACATCCAGGAAGCTGGCTTTAAAGGAGAACTATGAGGGGAGTGATTTTCCACTCATCCTCATAGTTCGAGGCGACCTGTGACAAAGAAGCTGTCACACATCGTCTCAATAGATCGGGAACTGAGCAAACACATACCATCACTCGCTCACTTCTCAATCATCTCACTGCAGAGAGCGGTGACTGTAAACCACGGCTCCCGCAAGGAATCCCCCTTTCCTCTACAATCTTTCAGCTCTGACTGGAGGAATGCAGAGGGAAGGGGGCTGGTACAGCTAGCTCTGCCTCTAGATAGGCAGAGCCAGCTGTCACTCACGCAGCTGGGTGGATCTCAACAGCATTGTCGGGATCCGGCTGCAGTGGTCTCAGTATACCGTGAGCTGTAGTTCACGATATACTGAGCTTTGGGTCACGGGAGGACGCTAGTAAACAGTATGTCCTCCTGTGACCCTTAAGAGAACTATGGGGAAAAACCCTTACCCCACAATTCTCTTTTAAGACACAGCACAGCCCCTTGCCAAGCTGGTGCTTAAATACCCCTGCGACACATGCAGCCTCACCTCAGGGCATTCTGGTTGTCCTGGCCCAAGATCTGTGGCCATCATTAGCCATACTGGCCTGGATTCTTTGAGAGCCATTAGAAGTAATGGCAGAGCTCTTATGAGCACCATCAGAGGTACTGGCGGGTATTTCCATTGGTACTATGTACCTCTGGCAGGTTTTGGATGTCCTGGCTGGGATTCTCAGAAGAGATCCGTAAAACTCAGCAGGAACTCTGAGCTTACCATAACAGGGGGACATTTATGAATTATGCCGCACGGCAAAGCAGTTCTAATTCAGGCAGTGAGACAATTTGTGAGACAGATTTTATTACATGGTTTCACCGTGAGTCATAAATCCCTTACTTTGTATTTATGCGCTTTGTATGGAGTGAAAATTTGTTGCATCTTCAATTATAAATCTTTCGCACTTGTCTGCCAATGAACACTGTAGCTCGCGGTATACTGAGCTTAGGGTGACGGGAGGACTCTAGTTTGTGACCTCCCGTTACCCTAAGGAGAACTATGGGGAAAAGCCCTAACCCCATAGTTCTCCTTTAAGATAGTTATACAAGGGGGTCTTTTGTTTTTGCAATGACCGTACTGTGTATTCTGAAATTAAACTGTCATTATGAAAAGAAGGGGCTGCAGATGTTGTATTCTCTGTTTGTTACAGGACAGTGTCAAAGCTGGAAACACAGATTAGGCAACTGGAGCATGAAAACATGGTGAAACTTCGACGCATTGCTAAAGGCCAGTCATGGTCATCCAGCTTAAAGTAGGTTGATTTGAATATTGCACATTGTTTTCTCTGCATCACAGATTGCTGGGATTTGTCTAGAGTTGTGATTCTTGGCATTTTGTATTGGAAAATGTGACTAAAGGAAAGTGCAGTTCAAAGGAATAATTTGTTCTGGGTAGAAGGTGATAACAAACCACACTGACAAAATTGTATGTAACTGCACATCCACCATAGAACCTCTAACTGAAAAGTAGTATATTAAGAAAAGATGATCAGTTGTTTGAATTATTCAAGTGAATCTGTTATTAACCGAATAAAAACAGTAATACATCTTACCTTTATCTCATCCCTTGCCTCTGTACTTTATCTTTAGCATCTGCCAGTTCTGCCAGTGTTGGATGCCTGGGCTCCATGCTACAGATCTGTGGTCCACCCACCCGTCACTACTTCACTGTGTTTCTTCCTAGCTGAGCCAGGGGGAAGAACCATAGCACTGCAGAGGGGGACACAGTTACCAGTTACCAGACACAGCCAGAAATGTCAGATGCTGAAAAGTGTTTGGCCAGTGTAGCTCTGCAAGAGGGTGAATTTTGGGGGCCTGGGTGACAGAACGGATAAGTGTTACTGTTCTTTTCCACGGTGACAGTTTTTCTTCTCAGCGATCCTTCAGCTCACACTGCTCAACTGCATTGTGCTAAAATAACATCACAGCTTATATATAGCAGAATATGGGGAAATATTATTTCATCATGAGCTGAATTTTACAGTATTTCCTGAGACTTACCCGCTTATCTGTAATTTAGTGAGGAATGAGATGGCCACATACAGGAGTAACAATTCAAACATGTGAATGTGCTAACAGCAGACAAAGAGGCATTATAAACAAACTTCCCGAAAGTTAGTTTCAAAAAGATTTTTGTCGGAGTTAAGCCATGCAGGGGGCGCAGGGAGTGTTATGAATGTGAGTACAATCACAAGAAAGAAACTGTTAACAAGACAGGGGTGTGGAGACAGTGGCGGAGCTAAGGAACAAAGGGCCCTGGTGCAAGATTTTTTTTGGGCCCCCTCCCAAAAAAAAAAAAACACAAACACAGCGCTCTCATCCCGCAGCGCTCGGCCGGCTGTCACTTTCTCTCCTCCCCGCTGGGACACAGAGCAGCGCCCAGCGGGGAGGAAAGAAAGCAGGATTTAACATTTTTATTTATTTTATCATCTTTTTTTATTTTTTTAATGTAATTTCTTGAAAAATTTTTTATCACTTTTTTATTTTTTAAATTACTATTTAAGTCATTTTTTTACTTTATTTTTTAAATTGTTTATATTTTATAATTTTTTACTTTTGTATGTATTTTCTTTCCACCTAACTTTATTGCTATTACACAGGGGCTAACAAGCCCGAGGTGTATGCCAGACAATCGAGCTGCTTACAAGCTATCATGGGCAGCTGTGGAGCCGCTCAAAATCACTTGTATCAAACGGCTTCCCTGCATTACATTTAGCCCTGCTTGCCTGAAGCAGGGCTAAATGTAGAAAAAAAACACTCATCCGGTGCCCGAAACTGCATGTCCCGGACGTCGGGCGATAGGAATTCCACACCCCTGCAAGCCGTAAATAAAAGCTAGGATAAACGGGAACTGAATCAAAAGATAGTCACTTTGAGAATTTATATTTCAATATATATTAAAGTGTATGTAAAACCAAAAAGCTTTTTATAGTAGAACTCCGGGCAAATTAAATATTATCCATTGCAGTACGGCTACCCCTGCCCTGCAAGGGTTAAGTGCTCGTTTTGAGCTAAAATAAGTCATACTCACCCGAACCGCGATCCCGGCTGGCTCCTAAACGAGTCCCTTCAGCCTCACTCCCCCTCTGCTCCAGTGGCCTAAGGTCCAGTGACGCCGAGGGATATTCAATGGTTGAAGTGGAGCAGGAGGCAGGTTGGAGTAAGCGATTTAGGAGCTGGGTTCGGGTGAGTATATCTGTTATTTTAGCTCCCTTGCCAAAATGAGCATCTAAACTTTGCAGTACGGGGGGTAACACCACTGCAAGCGTTAAGATTTGATTTGCCCAGAGTTCTACTTTAAATTTGGATAAAGCAGAGAGAGGGATAAGAGCCGTTACTGAGTTTTATTACCCTCTGTGTCCTTGCTGGTAAAATTCACCCTCTGTATTTATACTGATGACCATTATCTCTGGTGCATGTGATGGGAAATTCAGCATTTTAGAGTTGTCACGGTAACAGGAAATGAGGGAAAACCTTCCAATGGGGGCACTTGTTTTAGTGATAACTGTGTAGAAGGAGATTAGAGGGTCTAGGAGGCTGGCTAGTGACAAACAAGCTGTGCAGATTATCTCAAACATACAGAATGTTTGATTCATATATTACCAACATATACATAAACCATTTCATTTTGATGTTGTCCTTTTAGCAAAGAATTGTCGCACACTGTGGGTAGCCTGCATACTGCGGATACTGCACACTGGAAGACGCCTGGAACACAGTGTACTGTTTTCTCTGGTCAACCAGTTGACAACAAAACCATAGAAATGGAGAATAAACATGATGCCTCATATGTGCCAAACAGGTAAGTTAAAAAAAGAGAAAGTTATAGAGTAAGCATGCTGGACCTTTGGACTACATTCACACTGCGATTGGATGCCTTTGTATGCGTTTATAATGGTTTACTAAATGCATGTATATGACACAGTACATTCACAGTACGAAAAAGAAAAGGGTATAGAGCAAGGATGCTGGGCCTTTAGGCTCCAGATTTGGTGACATCACATTTAAACGACACAGTACATTCACAGTATGAAAAAGAAAAGGGTATAGAGCAAGGATGCTGGGCCTTTAGGCTCCAGATCTAGGAGACATCACAATTAAACGACACAGTACATTCACAGTATGAAAAAGAAAAGGGTATAGAGCAAGGATGCTGGGCCTTTAGGCTCCAGATCTAGGAGACATCACAATTAAACGACACAGTACATTCACAGTATGAAAAAGAAAAGGGTATAGAGCAAGGATGCTGGGCCTTTAGGCTCCAGATCTAGGAGACATCACAATTAAACGACACAGTACATTCACAGTATGAAAAAGAAAAGGGTATAGAGCAAGGATGCTGGGCCTTTAGGCTCCAGATCTAGGAGACATCACAATTAAACGACACAGTACATTCACAGTATGAAAAAGAAAAGGGTATAGAGCAAGGATGCTGGGCCTTTAGGCTCCAGATCTAGGAGACATCACAATTAAACGACACAGTACATTCACAGTATGAAAAAGAAAAGGGTATAGAGCAAGGATGCTGGGCCTTTAGGCTCCAGATCTAGGAGACATCACAATTAAACGACACAGTACATTCACAGTATGAAAAAGAAAAGGGTATAGAGCAAGGATGCTGGGCCTTTAGGCTCCAGATCTAGGAGACATCACAATTAAACGACACAGTACATTCACAGTATGAAAAAGAAAAGGGTATAGAGCAAGGATGCTGGGCCTTTAGGCTCCAGATCTAGGAGACATCACAATTAAACGACACAGTACATTCACAGTATGAAAAAGAAAAGGGTATAGAGCAAGGATGCTGGGCCTTTAGGCTCCAGATCTAGGAGACATCACAATTAAACGACACAGTACATTCACAGTATGAAAAAGAAAAGGGTATAGAGCAAGGATGCTGGGCCTTTAGGCTCCAGATCTAGGAGACATCACAATTAAACGACACAGTACATTCACAGTATGAAAAAGAAAAGGGTATAGAGCAAGGATGCTGGGCCTTTAGGCTCCAGATCTAGGAGACATCACAATTAAACGACACAGTACATTCACAGTATGAAAAAGAAAAGGGTATAGAGCAAGGATGCTGGGCCTTTAGGCTCCAGATCTAGGAGACATCACAATTAAACGACACAGTACATTCACAGTATGAAAAAGAAAAGGGTATAGAGCAAGGATGCTGGGCCTTTAGGCTCCAGATCTAGGAGACATCACAATTAAACGACACAGTACATTCACAGTATGAAAAAGAAAAGGGTATAGAGCAAGGATGCTGGGCCTTTAGGCTCCAGATCTAGGAGACATCACAATTAAACGACACAGTACATTCACAGTATGAAAAAGAAAAGGGTATAGAGCAAGGATGCTGGGCCTTTAGGCTCCAGATCTAGGAGACATCACAATTAAACGACACAGTACATTCACAGTATGAAAAAGAAAAGGGTATAGAGCAAGGATGCTGGGCCTTTAGGCTCCAGATCTAGGAGACATCACAATTAAACGACACAGTACATTCACAGTATGAAAAAGAAAAGGGTATAGAGCAAGGATGCTGGGCCTTTAGGCTCCAGATCTAGGAGACATCACAATTAAACGACACAGTACATTCACAGTATGAAAAAGAAAAGGGTATAGAGCAAGGATGCTGGGCCTTTAGGCTCCAGATCTAGGTGACATCACATTAACATGACACACAGAGTACGTTCTAAATGAACTTACTAACAATTATGTGCCTGAATGGATGTAAATTCATTGGATTGTTTAGGTAGGCCACCACACAACGTAATTGTAGGAGATTTTACAACAATTGGACAGTCGGATTGTAATTTGTGGCCAATGTTAAAAAATTACAAGGAAAGACCTCCAGAATAAATGTGAAATTTGGACTTCTAGACGATGGTGCTTCGGGCAGGCATGCACAGTTACAGGTTTCTGTAAAAATGGCTACTAGATTGTAGCAATATTGTTACATTGTATTTATCAATGAGGGCTGTTTGTGCTTCTAAGGCATAAGAACAGGACCCAGCTGTGATATTTATAGCCAGGATAAGCTAGTAGAGTGGGTGCGAAATCAGAAGAAGCCCTGGGCAAGTACACCAAAGGTCTTTACATGAGTTGTTGTGGTTTTTTGGGGGGTTTTTTTTAGGGGCGTACCTCCTCAAACTTAAAATTACAAGTTGTTACCACTGGTTTGCCTTCCTATTTTCTTTCTTGCATATATTCTGTAACACAAGCTACCAATTCCTATCAAGGTAGTATACACATAAGGTGATTTAACTGACGGGTCTACAGAGGTGATGTTTTTGTTTCAATAAACTGAAACAAGGAACCTAAGGATAAAAAAGTTGCAGATCAATGCATCGCTGTAGATGTACTATTTTATCATTTTCAAAGCTTAGCTGAACAAACTGCAGATTGAAACTAATTTGTTACTATGGGCAATTGCCCCAGGTTCTGTCTACTCCAGTGTATTTATAGCGTTAACCAACATTGGTTAGATTACATTATGCTGAAAGCATTCAAATGTTTAACAATTACTCTATCACTTGAAATAAATGTTTAACACACATCTCTTTGTGAATGTATTTTGTATATCTACCTATAAATCTTGACATTGACTCTATAGTTCTGCTCCATTATATTGATGATATAGCGACTAATTGACTGACTAATATGATTTAATAAGAATCCTATTTTCTGAATCTTGTTAAGGCACCATTCTCCTCCAGAAAAGGAAGCCTTACATAATTATATAGCAGCTAAACCCACGACAGAAGAGCGCAGTACTCAGGAGAGTCCCATTCTAAAAGCCTTGAGAGACTTTGAAGAAGAAAAAGGGTTGAAAGGCTGGAAAAAGGAAAGTTCATTTCATAGTAAGTTGGCATATCATCCACATTAATCACGCGAACACATTCTTTGTGTGCTGCTCCAACACTTCCAGTCATTTAGCAGTGTATAAACAATGGATTGTGTTTTTACTGGAAGACAATAGAGCATTTATAAATCTTTCACACGCTGAAATTGGACAATGCTGCCCTTTACATAATTCTCTGAAGCATTTGTGTTGTTTCCTAAGTGTGTAATAATTAAGAAGACTGTCTAGAAACCGATAAAGAGAATGGTTTTGGTGAGGAGCAAAAAAAGCCCCCCAACCAGGCTAAGCATTAGCCCAAAAAGTTAGTCACTTACACAGTTTGAAATGGTTATAGAACAAAAAGATGCCTCAAGGGCAGTGTTTCTCGACCTTTTTTCAGTCATGACACCTTTTAAAGGTATGCAAAATCTCAAAGCACCCCTAAATGTAAAATGTAAAAAAAGATGTGTGGTTCCGCCCTCCACTAATCAATATCAAATCCTTAGATAGGGGTCTGGTATGGATTTTAATTGGGGATCCAAGGCAACATAAAAAAACTGTGAATCACTGCTTGATGGAAACAACAACTTTCTATGTGAAATAAATACTTTAGATAATTGTTGGTTGCATAGGGTACGGTATGTATCAGTGGCCTCCTGAGGAGTATTAGAGGGAGGTGTGAAGTCCAGCGCAACTATTGTTTTTATTTCCGTGTAGATTTTATAAATGCAACATTTTTAAGTAATATACAATGGAGCGAATTTATCAAAACTGGAGCAGTAAAAATCTGGAGCAGCTGTGCATGGCAACCAATCAGCATCCACTTTTCATTTTCAAACCTCAACTGAACAAACTGAAGAGAGAAGCTGATTGGTTGCCATGGGTAACTGCTCCAGATTCTTCTGCTCCAGTTTTGATAAATTCCCCCCTGTATGTCTTATAGTTTGGCGCCTTTAAAGCCCCAATGTCCATATTTAGAGAGTACTTTTAAAAAAAGAGAAGACAATGTAAAATCTACCCCTTTACATCAGAGTCCCCCCTCTCACATACGAAATCCCCTTACATTAGAATAATTTTCCTGAAGTGGTGCTTCAAGGAGAGTAATTGGCCGAGTCAATTCTAATCTTGGGACTACAGAATGATTAGTGTGTATGTTGTACAAATGGTTTGAGTAGTTTAGCAAGAAAAAAAAACTGGGCAGGGCTGACAGCACTCAAAAATGCTGTGCTCCCAGCTTACATGTAAGTGTATTTATAGGCATAAATGTTTAGTTTTGCATAGAGTTTTTTGCTGTCCCATTATAGAGATTTCAATCCACTTTCTGTCCAATAGATGCAACAGGAAGTGAGAGGAAATCTCTACAAAGTGAAGGGGAATTCCACTCAAAGCCAGTTATCACTTGAACAGATGTCCACAAGATTTACCCGCACCTCTTTTTCTGGTGACAATTTTGGATAAACTTACCCAGTGAGGACACAATAAAACCCTGACAGGGGTTCTGATACTTACCAAAGCTATTGAAAACTTAAAAAAAAAAAGTTTTGACTGACATGTATCTACTGATTTCAGGTTCAGCCCTGCAGGTTTCTTTGTGGTAGGTAAAAGTACATTATAGCCAAAACAGAGCATTAAAGAAGAAGCCAGGGCAGAATAAAAATTAACCCTTCCAGTGGAGCTACCCCGCACTGCAAGGATTAAGTGCTTATTTTCATCTAGGGTTGAAAATAAAAAAAATATACTCACCTGAACCTTGCAGATGGCTGGCTGTTAGATCGTGTACTCCAGCCTGTGTCCGTCGCCGCCCCAGTAATGGAATGTCCCTCAACGTCCTCACATCCTATAAACTGTATAGGAGGTGATGACTCATAGGACCTTAGACCGCTGGAGTGGAGGGGAAGCGAGGCTGAAGGGACCTGTTTAACAGACAGCCGGCTGCTAGGTTCAGGTGAGTATAAGTTTGTTATTTTCGACCCTAGACAAGCACTTAACCCTTGCACTGCAAGGGTTAAGAATATTTATGGCCAGGGTTCTTCTTTAAGGCTAGACTTGCATACAATGGAGCATAGCCTACCCACCTTGCACGTCTGTATTTCAACCAGGCATTGCAGTAGCGGAGATAACCCACTCCTATTGTCAGTAATCTAGTGATACTGGAACACACCTGCTTGTGATGCTGAAGCACTTTTCTTGCTGCTCACATACACAAAGGCTGAAGTAAAAAAAAGCCAGTACCAAGATTCTTCTGACAGCCGCCAACCTGGTTAAAACCTGCCTTGAAAGTGTGAATGTGATTGTTCATTCAGGAAAGAGAAGAATTTACACAGTACAATACCTAGTAAGTAGCATTCCTACTGGATCCGTGAGGGGGACTGCGGTTACAGACCCGTGAGTGTGCTGCGGTTACAGAGGATTTCAAAGAAATCAGATTAAAGTAAATCTTTTATTTTAGGTCAGCAGGAGTGTGCTGGAATGTTTTAGTAGATTTCTGATTGGTTTCACTGAATACGTAGAATTGCCCTTTAAAGCCATAATTGTCAGTAGGTGTACAGCTGTCTGTGTGTTTGCTTCACTATATCAAATCTTTTAGGACCGTCCAGTAAACCGCAAACTGTGGGATTCAATGACTGCTGTACTCCACGCGATTCTCCAGATAAAAATAGAGATCGGCAAAAACACCTTAATTCCCCAGCTGGCCCGCGATCCTCTTCACTCCCACCTTCAATCAGGAAGACATCCACTGTTACTACCCCAAGTAAGGGTCTTTACTTTAAATCAATAGAAAACAGGATGTTATATGAGATCTTTCCTCTAGTATAAATGGATACAAAATGTGATGTGTTTTAATGAGTTCACAGACAAGAATTTTACAATTGCAAATGTTTTTGTTGCAAGAAGAATAGTGGCAGCATTTGGTAAACACAGGCAAACTGCACCAGCAAAGTATTCTAAGGTTTTGTCATGAATAGACAGACATTTTAAAGGATAATACCAGAGGGGTAGGCACTCTAATTACAAAATTGAATCAACACCTGTGTGTATGTCTTGGTCCTAAAAGGGTGCGTGCGATTGTGCTACACATGTCAGGGATCGCTGCCTGGGCCGGAGTGAGAGCAATAATTATCGGGCCAATATTCATGGCTAACTCTAAACTGATAACCAGGCTTTTATAATATCTATATA